TTTACTTAAAAGTATGCTTTTTAAAAAATATCAAAATGTATAAAGGTTTTTTTTAAGCTCTGTATTAATTTTCCAACCTGATATACTAGTCAGAAAACATGATCTGTATGATTTTGACTCCTAAAACTTTTTGATTGGTGAGTATTAGAAAGAATGTACATTCTCCAACTGTAGGGCTCAAAGTTCTGTATCTTTCAATTAGATCAAGTTTGTTAGCTGTGTTTGTCTATATGCTTAATGATGCTTATTCTCCTTGATCTACTTACTGATGGCTGAAAGGGAAGTGTTAAAAATCTTCCATTATGAGTATGTGTCAGTTTCCTCTTCTAGTTCTATCAGTATTTGCTTTATTACATGTTAATGTTATATTACTAAGTGCCTATACATTTTGAAACTATTAAATCCTACTAGTAAGCTCAATATTTATTGTTATATAAAGCTTATTTCTAATAATGCTTTCTGCCTTAAAGTCTAATTATTAATGTTTACCCCGATTTTCTTCTATTTAGTATTTTCCTGGTGTATCTTTTCTTTTTCCTTTTAATCTTTCTCTACCCTAATGTTTTAGGTATGCCTTCTGTAAACAAATGTAAAGCTGGGTTCTGTTTTGTTTTTCATCCAGCCCATGATATTTAACTGTGACTTACTGTGATTACCAACCTATTTTGACTTTTGTATACTTAACTGTGACTTACTGTGATTATCAACCTATTTTGACTTTTGTATACCTTACTTTGTATTATTTGTACCTTTTAAAAATTTTATTTCTTTTTTCCCTTTCTTTGAATTGACTTAAGTTCCCTCCACCCTCACCTTCCACCTTGTTCCATATTTTTCCTTTTGGAAAATATATTCCATTTCTATTCTTGTAATGGTTACTCTTGAAACTTCAGCAAGTATTCTTAACTCAAAATCTAAAAGTCAGCCAGCATCTTTCCCCTGCTCCCAAGTACTCACAGCACAAGGACCTGAGAACACTTGCTCTAATCACACCCCTGCTGAATTACCTGCTACTGCTGTTCAGTATTTCAGATCTGATTTTTTTACTCCTCTCTCCCATTGTCATTTTATATGCTATACTGTTTTACACATCAGTGTTTGTTTACACGTACTACCTGTTTAATACTTTCTTCACTTATTTTCCTTTTTGTATCTCAGACATTAGTCCTGAGATCATTCTCCTTCATAAACATTTGTTAGAAGTTGGGGTCTTCTAGAGGCAGACCAACCAGTTGTTTCTTGTTTGTTTAAATCTATAAATGTCTTCATTTACGCTATGCTCTTAAAAGACAGTTTCACAGGGGTACACAACTCCCAATTGAATTACTTTCTTCCAGCAGTTAGCGCTATTATTCTGCCATCCTCTGGCTTCCATCATTGAGAGACTTAACTTTCATTTCTTTTGTAGATAATCTCTTTTCTCTCCAGCTACTCTAAAGGTCTTTGTCATTGGTGTTGTGCAATTTCACTATAAAGTGTCTAGGTAAGAGTTTCTCTTTGTTTATCCTGCTTGGGATTCATTGGGCTTCCTAAATCTGAGGATTCACATCATTAAGCAACTCTAGAAAAACATCCAGCCGTTTATCTTTTTCATAACTGCTCCTAAGGCAGGAGAGGAAAAAATATGGAATAAGAGTGAAGGGAAGGAATCTCTCTCCATCTTTATTCTCTATTCTCCTTTTGATATTTTAGATATATGTTAGACCTCTGTCTTCTATAAATCTCAATATCTTTTATATTTTTCATCTCTTTCTCTTTGTGGTATATTCTGGGTTATTTTTTCAGCTTTTTCAATCTGTCAATTCTCTCTTCAGCTATGTATAACCCACTATTTAGCTCTTACACTGAATTTTTTTTTTTTTTTTGAGACAGAGTCTCATTCAGTTGCCCAGGCTACAGTGCCGTGGCGTCAACCTAGCTCACAGCAAACTCAAACTCCTGGGCTCGAGCAATCCTTCTGCCTCAGCCTCCCAAGTAGCTGGGACTACAGGCATGCATCACCATGCCCGGCTGATTTTTTCTATATATATTTAGTTGTCCAGCCAATTTCTTTCTATTTTTAGTAGTAGTCGCTCTTGCTTAGGCTGGTCTTGAACTCCTGAGCTCAAACAATCCTCCCACCTCGGCCTCCCAGAGTGCTAGGATTACAGGCGTGAGCCACTGTGCCCAGCCTTACACCAAGTTTTTGATTTGAATTATCTTTCCACTTCTAGAAATTCTATTTGGTGGTTTTTCTTTTTTAAAGATGAGGTCTCACTATGTTGTCCAGGCTGGCTTCAAACTCCTAGGCTCAAGACATTCCCCCACCTCAGCCTCCTGAGTAGCTAGGACTATAAGCACACACCACCATGCCTGGCTACTATTTGGTTCTTCTTCGAATATGCTTGGTTGTTTTTATAGTCACTTGCACCTTATTCATATTTTCAGTTCCCTTTTTAATTTAAGCATACAAATTTTATATGCTGTATCTAATAATTCCAACACCCAAAAAATCTTTGGGAGAATAATTCTGTTGTTACTCATTCTGGTGACTGTTATCACAGTGACTTGTTTTCTAATATGTTTTGTGATTTTTGACTATAGCTCGTATTTCCTGGAACTTTTTCTTAGGAAATTCTCTGAAGATGATTTGTGTTAGCTTCTGCTAGATGCTAAAGGTACTATACACCTGGTTTCATTGTATGTATATGACAATTCTTAGCTTACGGCTTTCAGACTACACCAATGGTGTAAACCTAGGTCCTAAACACACACAAAAGTCACCTAGAGGCCATGAAATCCCTGAGTTGGCTTGATTTATTAAAAATACCTCTACACACAGCAAAGGTAATGAGAACACAATTATTTTTACTCTATGGGTTAGATCATTTTCTGCTTGCCCTTTTGCCTAAGAGGGTGGTCCTTCCTGAATTCTTGCCTTGTGTGGTGATCTCTGATCTGGCTCCTCACCCCAGTCCCACCAAATGTGGAGGCTCTACAGCAGTGCTCCCAACCCTTCTCATACCACGAAACACAGGAAATGGTATTTGTCTGGCCCACTGACAGGGACAGAGGGGGTTGCCTGAGCACAGAAGAGATCAGTCCTAGGGGTCCGGCTTACCCAAAGATCAAAGGAAGCAACACCTTGGCCACTCTATCCCCTATTTCTGGCGCACCTGATGCACAGGAAGGCTCTGTCTTTGGACATCCCAATCCTTAGGGAGCGAACAGGCTACTTAGCTTACCTGTCTGAAACCATCCAAACTTTAAATTTCACTAATCAGTAAAACTTGAAGAAATTTTTAGGGACAGACATAAGCTTGCGAACTTTATATTTACAAAATGAGGACATTAAAAAAATTTTTTTTACCACTACGCCATTATTTCATAAAAGACATTTAAGACCAAACAAAAGTATGAAGAACATTTCAGAATAATACAAAGACCTTTAAATTTAATGATTTTGGCTTTAATTTGCTAAGGACTGGCATGGTCTCTGGTTGGCATTTGAGACTACTGGACTAGAGACTAAAGTAAATGGATCTTTCTTTTTCCATAAATGAAATAGCAGATTAGAAAACTGGCTTCACTTTACCTTTTTTCACAAGAGACGCTATCGATATCCATGCTCTGAGAACGTGAGAGAGACTGAGATTGTGTTTCAAGGCTATTAGAGGGCGAGCTGCTGAGAGAACTGACTCCTTCACTGCTCTGGCTTCGATGGGCTACTCCTAAAAGAAAATGCATGAAAGATTAAGCTCCATGTGAAAAAACGTTAAAGCTATTTGTAATGGCAAAAGTAAACATCAACAATCTGCAGTCATGCCATCATGAAATTCCACAACTGAGGAACTTCTATCAGAAGATTATATTAAATGCTGGAAGTAATATTAAAATCATAGGAACACAGGCCGGGCGCGGTGGCTCACGCCTATAATCCTAGCACTCTGGGAGGCTGAGGCCAGGTGGATTGTTTGAGCTCAGGAGTTCGAGACCAGCCTGAGCAAGAGTGAGACCCTGTCTCTGCTAAAAAATAGAAAGAAATTAGCTGGACAGCTAAAAATATATGTAGAAAAAAAAAATTAGCCGGGCATGGTGGTGCATGCCTGTAGTCCCAGCTACTTGGGAGGCTGAGGCAGAAGGATCGCTTGAGCCCAGGAGTTTGAGATTGCTGTGAGCTAGGATGACGCCACAGCACTCCAGTCTGGGCAACAGAGTGAGACTCTGTCTCAAAAAAAAAAAAAATTAAAAAAAAAATCATAGGAACATTAGTAAGATATGACAATTTATCAATATACTTCACACGCTTCAGTAACAGAGCTATGCCTGATGCCTAAAATTGACTCCACATCACCTCTCTTACACCGATTCAAACTATGGTCCCTGCATACAAATTAGCTTCCATGATAGTCCAGAGAAATCCTTCAAAAGCACCAAAAATAAGATACATTAATCAATAGACAGATGTGTGAAGAAGTGACTATAATAAAATGTTAATGGTAGACTCTAGATAGTGAATATATGGGTATTACTGCAAAATTCTTTCAAATTTGCTGTATGTTTGAAAATTTCATAATCAAATGTTGAAAAATGGAAATAGAATTTAAGCAATGTCCTTCAATATAGATTAATCCACTTATTGACTGGACATCTTGGTGAAAATAAAAAAAAGTGACACTTTCCTTGCCTTCACAGAACTTACAGTATAGAGAAACTGTAGCCATGAATATAGGGACAGATCATTTCTCATAGCAATTTCCTCATCAGTGTCTTTAATATGTTTTTCACAGAATTTAAAAAATTATTTTAACTCTATAAATATCTTTCTACCAAAAAAATGTTCACCCAGGCATCTGCAAATATTTTAAGATACATATACCTGTGTTGCTGAAAGAAAAGTAAGACTCACATGTTAAAAAACAAAACCACTTGCATTATCAGTTGTAGCTTAAACAACTACCAAATGGATAAAATTTTAACCCTACCTGAATTCTAAGAATGAAAACTTACCACATTTTAATGTCTCTCTTCATTAAAGAATATTACAAAACATGTATCCATTCCTGAAAGCAGTTCTTAACATGTACTAGTTCATTAAAAATTTCTACAGGACTTACGAAGGAAATGGGAAACTAAATTTTCACTACTTCCAAGAAGACTCAAGTAAAATACACAAAGTATCTAATGTAGTAAGAATCTGAAATAAGCTTGTAGAAGACAATAAAACTTTAAATTCATTAATTCAAGAAGTATAACCCAAAGTAAGTTCTCAATAAACATTTATTGAAGGAATAAATAATAGAACATCAACAATATCCTTAGGAGAATATTATTTTACCTATCACAGTGAAAGGTTGAATAATTTTTAAATTAAAATTAATCAACAATAAAGTTCAATCATTTTCATGGGATATTAATTAAGCGGTCTTTAAAATTTCTACTCTATGGATTAATAAAATGTGGTATATGTATACCATGGAGTTCTA